TTTCCACAATGTATGATCAGTTATGATGATTTTACTCGCTCTGCACTATTGTGAATGTGTTTCCATAGTGTATGACCATATTATCAGTGGGACCCACTCTCCTACACTCATAGGCTTTGAGCCGTGTACTAGGGTGATTAGCCTTTGGGGCAGCTGTGCGTACGTATGACCAGATTATTAGGTGTGAATGGTCTTGCCTTGTACATCGAGATTACTCTGTACATGAGTAAGGCTATTCATAGGGTATCTTTTTGGTGTGATTTTTCATTATTTTTACAGTTTATCAAATTTCAAATTATAGAATTCAGTTTCTTCAGTTCTCAGAATAAAGCTTCCAACTTATAACATTGAGCAATACCAATATTTCATAGATTTTCATGAATATCAAATTCTTTATAGTCGTTATACCTTACAATTGTAAGAACAAAGAATTTTATAATGCAATCATGCTAAGTTTTAAAAGTGTTACTAGATTCAGAATTTCTTAAAGATTTAATAAAGTTGGAATTTTTAGAAAATATGCATAAATGGAAAAGTATACTTATTTGCAAATTATCCACTCACTGAGTTAAAAGCTCATATATTTTGCCATGTTTTTCCTATCAGGAGACCGTTGATTTTAAGATACTTGGAAATGCCTCTGAAGTCAAGAGACTGTTTCATAATATGTAATGTATAGTTGGAGACTCATGTTTACTAAATACTGTCTAATGTTTTGTTTGAAGTGCATTTTGAAGAAGATTTTATAATTAACGTAATGCTTGCATGTAGACATTATCTTCTCAGTCGAATTTAGTTGTATTTTGTTTTAAGTTGTGGTGGTATTGGTGGAACTAGTGGCTTCCTAAATCTTTGGTTTAAATGTCTATATGAGATTTTGTTGATTTTCAGGATTAGTTTAGTCCATGTTTCAAGGGAAACTCTATCAAAATTTTTATAGAATTATGTCACAAGCAAAGCAAGTCAAGATTGCCTTGGTGGTGGGTCTGGCATTTAGCTAGCACCTACCATCGGCACACAACGTGTCGAGTCAATTAGGTTGAATCGGGATGGGTCGTGTCAAAGACCGAAATCATGAGGATCCCTTGTGACACAACAAATGCATTGATCAATTCAAATTCCATGTTGTGTCTTGTGCCCTTATATTTACCTCCTAGATTTTCCAAGCCACAAAATCAAAAGCAACTAGCTAAAAATTAATCCAACAAACCAGCTAAATACACTGCATAATATGTACAGCCCAAACAACCGACCCAACAAATTCTTCCACAGTCACTGCTACAACTACAAACTACATATGTGATTCTGCGATAGCTCAAAGAGAAGGAATCCCAACAGCTAAGAACATGATCGCCGGCAACAAGAAATTTGATTTCTCCGACAATTTCTAAAAACCAACCGTTGATATCGTCACACAAAATCACCTTCCAAATTTCTGAATAGAGTTAGTCCATCTAAGAGCTACAGACAATTAACAAGTTAATCAACAAATTGATCAACCAGACGAAGCTAATTTCGTCGAACTAGATCACCTCCATCGAACAGATTTTCAGATAGTCCTCACAAACATAAATGTAAGCAGCCAAACGTTGCCTCCACGAGCTGCCCTATGACCGACTTCTTCTCTGAACCCAAATACAACTTTTGCCTTTTTCGACTACCCAAATATCTGTTTTTAGAAATAAGTACCCCCACCGAGAAGGTTATAAGCACCTGATATAGAAGCTGAAGGAGCCTAAGAGTCATCAGAATGAAAGGGAGAGTGAAAGGAGAGAGCTTTAAGAGCTTGAGTGTAGAAATTTGACTCGGTTATGGGAGATGGGGGGTAGTTTCCTAATTTTCTTGGAACTCGAGGGCTTTTTGGTACCGATGCAAACAAGAAAATTTGGACAAGAGGAGCTTTTAAAATCAGAACATTTTTTTTTAAGAAAGTAGATCAGATATCATGTCAATTATACTCAATAAGACTCAATGCCTCTGAATGTGAGGTTCTCTCATTATATAAAAACCAAATCACAACTAAATATGATAGCTATTAATTAAAATATTCATTAATGGTTATCAAAATCACAACTAAATATAATAACTACCAATTAATGACAACACATTAAATATGATAGCATTCCTTGAGCTGAAGGAGCCTAAGAGTCATCAGAATGAAAGGGAGAGTGAAAGGAGAGAGCTTTAAGAGCTTGAGTGTAGAAATTTGACTCAGTTATGGGAGATGGGGGGTAGTTTCCTAATTTTCTTGGAACTCGAGGGCTTTTTGGTACCGATGCAAACAAGAAAATTTGGACAAGAGGAGCTTTTAAAATCAGAACTTTTTTTTTTAAGAAAGTAGATCAGATATCATGTCAATTATACTCAATAAGACTCGATGCCTCTGAATGTGAGGTTCTCTCATTATATAAAAACCAAATCACAACTAAATATGGTAGCTATTAATTAAAATATTCATTAATGGTTATCAAAATCACAACTAAATATAATAACTACCAATTAATGACAACACATTAAATATGATAGCATTCCTTATATACCGCTGACAATATGGACTCTTGAATCATTATTTAACCAGCTATGTAGTTAGGATTATTTTATAATAATCATATCCACAATTAAACAAGGACCATTCAATAAATTTGTTTATGTTATGAATTCCAAATAGAAACTTATAATAGGGAGTAAAGAAGTCAATGCAATTATATATTTGACTACACTAACCTACCTTCGACACCCTTCTCCTCATCCTCCCACTCTACACCTGTTTATCAGCATGTTTTGAAACAAAGACATACTCGAAGTCTTTCCTTAAAAGGTATGGCTCTTCCTCGTAAAACATGCACTCTTGGATGATTATTTAACTAATCACATCAATTTTTTTCGTACAATCAGATCCACACTTCTGTATAGACCATCTGATCATTATATTTATCTTGGTAAGTTCCACGAGAAACTTCAGGATGGACTTATGGTATCAAGAGATATATATTTGACTGTTCTAACCCCACTCCTCAAACCACACTTCCGAACCTGGGAAATAACATTTCCACACCCTAATATTGACAGGGGAAAATTGAGAAATGTCTCAGTGTTTTTGGGCTTTTGATTAACTGAACCTTTACATTTGAGAAATTCAGGAAACAAATGTATTCGACTCAATCGTGTTAGTCCTAGATTCAAAATTGAAATACATCTGCAGTGTAAAACTAGAGCTAAATCATCTGTCATAACAGATAAAAGGAATCTGTAATAAAACAAAAATTTGACATTCTTTAAAGGAAGTTCAAGACTATTAGAAATCAGAGCCTAATTGGATTACAATACTGCATAAGATCTAAGAATTAGGTAGTTTATAGAAATTATAGCATTTTCCTAGTGACTTTTCATTATCAAACAAAACCAACAATTCTGACGCACTAAATTTATTTACTATAAATTTTCATGAAGTTATTTAAAGACGAAGTAAAAAAGCAGCGATCCAAGTTATTGCATAAATATATAATTCACCAGTTAATGCGCATACCTTACGTCGCCAGGCTGCCGATGGCCAAGATTATAGAAAATTATAGCAAACCCTGTTCCAATTATCTGGATAATAACATACCGATTCAACAAGTAAAAAATTGTAGCCTTCAACAAGAGATCAGGTTAAAAAAAATTAAAACATTCAAGTAAAAAAGGTAGATGCATTGTTTATGTCATCTTTGTGGCTATAGACAAATTATTTTGAAACCATTTATTATAGAGAACACGAATTCCACATGGATAAAAAGGAAAAAAATAGAACTTGAGCGTTTATTGAACACATTAAGCTAATGCAAGAAGAATTTGAACAATTCAAAAACAAACTCTTAGCAATCATTTTAAAGTTTTGTGCTTAATTAATTCCTCATTTAGCATTTTCTCCCGAAATCATATGCCTACTGAATTTACAAATTCATTTCAGTGCCTTGGTTTTTGAAGGCTTATTCAATCATGGCCTGCTATGAACTTAGCCAATGAAACCATTTGATCTGTAGAGAAGGTCATTTAAAAGAAGTAAGTAAAAAGTAGACATTTTCACCTCAACAATTACAGAGAGGGCTATTTTGAAAAATTCACCATTTTTATGAGTATCATTCATCTTTGCATTGACAAACTACAAATGATCAGACACCATAATAAATAATTGGGAGAATTGCAGCCACGATGCCAAACCTTTCATTTTATTTTAGACTTGATCAAAGCATTCCATTTGTACGACCCACGGTACCAAACATTTCAAAAATTAGCACCTAGAGTCCAAATGGATGAGACCGTTAGTTGACCATAATAGTAAACTCTGGCCAATTTTTAAAAGGGCAAAATAGTAATTTTACAATTTTATATAATAGAAAATTAAATTAAAAATGAGTAAAAATGAAAGGCTCTCAAAACCCACCCCTTTCCCTCCCCCACACTAGAAAATCAATTGCTGCCACCACCCATTGCCGTCACCACCACATCGACACCACCTACAGTGACAAAGAATCATTGGATTTCGCTGGTTGGGATTTTGGGAACTAGCAGGTTCCAAACTACGGTTACTTAATTTAGAGAGACGATGATGTTAGAAATTCGTAGAGAGAGAAATGGGGATTCTTCTTTCTTCATAAGCATACTTACAGCAAGTCCATGGTTAGAAAAAAATTGAAAATCTGTTGAAAATAAAGCAGGGAAGCTTCTTTTTACTTCAGATTTGTTGAAAAATTGCAGTTAAAGAGACCCTTCTTCAAATTAAGCAGAACCGGTTTCTGATTCTCACAAATTGCAGTTAAAAAATTTTTGCTATATGTGAAGAAGATTTTGGGAAATTTTTCAATTCATTAGGTGCTAAATTGAGGGCTTCTAGTAAGAGGATTTTTCCCAATTTCTTCTTCTTGATTAATATGGTTATTTACTCTATAATGTTTTGGACAATGGAAAGCTAGCTGATTGAGAAACCTGCTAGCCACCATAGAAAATGATCTTACTGGATTAATCTGATTTCATTTTCTTCTTGGATGGTAATGACGAAAAGAGGTAGCTGTGAAGTAGAATTCAGCCATCTGGGATACTTCTGAAATAATTCCACAAGAGATGAATACCTCAGTGTGTTCAGGCATAAATATTCTCCAAGATTTTGGCATTGCTTTGGCAGCGGTAACCATTAACGAGGGAATTGGAGGATTTTTAGACGGGTCCAAAGCCAATAATAGTGGCCATGGTGGTGGAATTGATGGTGGTGAATCTCGGGATTCCTTTGGATTCTGGTGATGGAGGAGCAAGTTTTGGCGTTATTCTTTGTCACTGTATTAGGTGGGGGTGGGTGGGGTGGGATTGGTGAAGGAGAGAAGAATAGATAGAGAGAGCCTTTTATTTTTATCTTTTTTATTTAATTTTTTATTGTAATTTATATTAAAATTGGGCAAAATTTACTATTATGGTCAACTAAAAATGGAAGGTTTGGATCAATGCAACAAAATGACAGTTTGGTATCATGACTGCAATTCCCCCTAAATAATTTTAAGCCCAGTAGTCAATCTGAGACAAACTGACTGTCAACATCATGTTAAAATCACAATTTCCCAAGCTAATAGTTGTAGCTAGCCTCCAATTTGATATACATATTCTAGAAGGGTATAGAAGATTGGAGAACCATCTGGTAGCAGTCAGGATGCAACCAAAATTGGTTAAGAGGCAACAACAATCTATTAAGAGGCAGGAGAAATCAGTTAGAAGATAGAAATAAAGGTGGGGGGGGGCAGGCTTGCATGTAGTGAGAAGGGAGATCTTTTGGAGAGTTTTAGCCCTCTCGAATGGCTATTGTTTCTTTTCCAGTTCTGTAATTTTCCTCAGTTTCATCAATCAAACAGTAGTTTATTTTCTGGTTCTGATTTTGTTCCCAAATTGCAGTTTGAATCTTATCAAAAAGCTAGACTTACATATAAAGGTCCAACATCCAATCTCTGGGCAACAGGTGCCAGAATAAACCATATAATGATAACAGCCCACATCTTTAGACTGAGAGAGAAAATTGCCATCAAAAGCATATCTACAAGGAGAAAGGATTCATTAGAACTTCTCCATCCTAGTCCTGTAAAAATTTGAAAAAAATAGATAGATTTTTACCAGGAAGCTTGATCTTATCACATAAGAAGAAGAAAAGCCTCCTCTTCCAACTGCCAGTTGACTGTGGAAGCTGAAATTTCTACATGCAATAAAGAGAGTGTGAGACACTTCGCAAAAGATAGGCTCAATGCAATTGTCATTGTAGGAACCAATTAATACCAGATCTTCGCTGTCATCTTCATCATCATCATCCCGAATATGCTTAGCAGGTGGCTTCGGTTTGTAGGCAACAATTAAGCTTTCTAAAAAGATATAGCGAGTCACTAATGTCAGAAGTAACAAAAGCTAGTTTCAAGAATTTTTGCAAAAATATCAACCAATGAAATATCTTGCCAAATTGCATGCTAAGGACAGAACAGTGTTACAGTAAGAGAGACATGGAATAGTACAACAGAATTTCAGGAGCTTTTATTTGTTGCTTATAGAAGATTCCCTCAGGCTGGACTTCAAACTAGCCAAAAAAGAAATAACTGGAAGAGAACAGATATGCTTTAACTTAACATTCAAATATTCATCTTCTGTCTCATCAATTCATTGCAAAATAGGGATTCCTGAAGAGGTTACCAGAACAACAGAAGAAGATAAACCATCAATTTCTTACCTACTAAAACATGGATAGTTAAAGGAAGCATTCCAATAAAGAGAAACAAAGGCATCGCCAATCAATCTTTAATTGCATATAAAGAAAAACAAATCTTGAACTCAGTAGTATCAAGCTCGTCCTGATGTTTGGAAAGATCTTTACAAGTGGAGAAAGGAAAAGTGACGAGAGAAGAATATAGATGCATCTTAATGCACTAGTATCGTATAAATATGTAGATCAAAATAATTACTTCTCTGATTCAAACTATTTGTTTTAAAGCCCATTTAAAAAGAACTTCATCTGTGCAATCTACCACTGAACCTAAATTGAAATATGTAATTTAAAATCAAATAAAATCGAATCAGCTCAGAGATGTTTAGGTTCTGAATGACTTGGAATATCCAACACATTTTTGTAACCTAAATTTTGTGTGCATGCTGCTACAATTGTGCAAGTCTAACCTAATGTATCATCAGTAAAAGAAAAGAATGCACAATTTACTAGTTAACAGCAATAGATAAAACTCAGACCTCCATCATGAAGTTGGATCATTGCAGCATCACCATTTTTATTGTCAAGCAACGCATTCCCTCGAAAAATAAGCTTCATCTCATCCATGGGCAAGTGACTAGCCCCAGCAATCAATTTTCTCAAATCATGCACCTATAATAACATATTCAAGAATTAACATTCTATTTAGTTTAGTATTGTGGTCTTGAATTCTTCACTTAAAACAAAAACAGTTATTGAATTGGACCCAACCAAGAAAAAGATCCAATAGTCCAACTGATGATTCAGTGACCTAGTATATGACCCCAGTTGCATGCTAAGACGAATATATGACCCCAGTTGCATGCCAAGACGAAGCGTCTAGTATCTTCAATTTTCAGTCTCTATAGTTCTCCAACACTTTTGAAACATAAGTATTAATAGGCTTTAAGGATAATTATGGTGTACTTTCTTAATTCAAATAGCATTTTGGAAGATAAAAACTGTCAAACTTCTTAAGAGAGCCATAAAAGGAAAGAAATCACAAATGCTTATCCAAAATAATTTTGTTGTAATTATATTCATTTACACTAATAGAGGCCAATGGCCAGTCAAAATCTTTCAAGCATAATCACTCACTACCCCCACTTCACAATAACTATGGACTGGCACTGCAAAGGCCTCAACAGTATAGGTGTCTTGAGCATATTGAATTTGACAATTACAAAGCATTCATAGCTCTCTTCCAAATAGGCCAAAAAAATAATAATAATAAAGGAAGGAAAAAAATGGAGGAAGGCAATCTCCTAATCCTACTAGACCTGCCTGTCTCCTAGAAAGAAAAGATAATGATGTCATAAATAGGAAAGAAAAATAGTAAACTACCCTTAATAGGACTAGTAGTCCCATCAAAATAATATTAACACTCAAAAGAATCTTAATACTATAAATAACACCACTTAGATTGTCCTACATCAGTCCTTCCCATTTAGACCTATTTAGTAGGTGGACAAGAGAAGAAAAATTAATCAATCAGGAGAGAAGTACTTAATAACTTCCCTCTTCTACAAAGAGATCTGATAATAATATAAACAATTCAATTTTATTTTATTTTTGGATTCTCATCCTTTAAATCCTTGACTCTTTTGAAAAGCCAAGAAATGACAATCAAATGTTCTTGACTTGCTTCTATCAATTTATTCATCGTGTTTTTCAACCTTCTATTGTCTTCGTTTGCAAAGTTTTTATTTAACTTACCAAGCTCAAGGATAGACATTTTTTAGGGAACCACCAAACAACAATTAGCTTTGCAATTTAGTTTTTGATGAAAGGATTGTTAAGGAAAAGGATGCCAGAACATTACCCTCATAAAAGAATAGACCTTCTCACAAAGAGCTAAAAAGCCCCATTATTCAGCCAAAGCTATTTGATGTAGAAGCTCGTTGCACATATGGTTCAATGGCCTAGCCCCACTAGCTGTTGCAGTGCTCACTATTGGTCATGTACCAGTGCACACTCAACGTTTTCCCTCTTTTTAGACAAAGGTGTGGAAATTTCTTAATTTCATTTTCATCGCATCAAAATTACAAAGGAAATGATATGTACACACACAAAGCTAACAAAATTCCCTCCAACAATTAAGCTGCATAATTATCTCCTATAATTAAGCCTACCTAATTCTCTCATACAGTTAACATAATTTAGCCCCCAATTAAACATAATTGACTATAGCTATATGACAACTATATTACACATGTATTCCTCACTTGTTTCAAAGATATCTATCATTTGGAGCTTGCTAACACACGAAATAAACATAGGTCATCACTAGTTTCCACTAGAGACAAATGGCATACAAATCTCACCACTTCAGCTATCATAAATAAATTGTTTGTCAATATCAACATGCTTCGTTATGTAGTTGTGTCTTGCTGAACAAGATTGTAAGCAATGTTTATGGTATATTTATTATCACAATAAAGATTTATTATTTCTGTCTTAGCAACTAATAATTTTTTGAACGACATCTATAACCACATCAACTCACATGTTTTGTACATCATTGCTCTAATTTGGCTTTGCACTAAACCGAGCAACCAAAAATTGTTTCTTGCTACTCCAAGTAAACTAGATTTCCTCAAGGAAAAAGTAGAAGATTGGGATATTAACCTCATATCTTCTATGAAGCCTGCCCAATCGACATACATATAAGCCCTTTGTGGGTGTTCCTTTCAGTATTGTAAGATCTTCAAAACTGCCTCCATATGAATTTCACGAGGAGAGTGCATATAGTAACTACAGCAACTGCGATCAGGTCCAATGTGAGACAAATACATCACCAACAAATCTTTCTGATGGAAAGAGAATTATATATAGAGATAAAGTTTATATATTAATTTAAAAGTAGAGTTTATTCAAAATATGTTATTTAGATTATATAAAATTAGTTTTGATATTTTAATATAATTATAGTTTATTAGAAGTTTGTTTCATTTTAGCTTCATTTTAATTTATTTGCTCTATAAGTAGAGGGGCTTATTCAAAGTAATAGTTAACCAGACTATGCTATTGCGTCAATTTTGTTTTGTCTTTTGTCAACTGAAGAACTCTCGATACTAGCTCCTAATTAAGTTTTGGACCACTTGGAGTATCTCTTAGTTGGCGGGTCAATTTACTTGTTTTGAGAAGATCTAAGACATACTCTCTTTGTGAGACAAATATCCTCCCTGTGGATATGACAAGTACCCCTTTGACTCCATCTTTCTAAAATGCAGTGTGTTTTTTTCCTCCATGATGTGATGTCTTATTATCGTAGTACCAAGTCTCCATTTCCACTACATCACATAAAACTTTGTTGGAATAATTTTGCCCAATTGATAAAGGAACAAGGCATTGATGTGTAATCTTTATTTTCCCTCCTTTCTTGAACCAAGCTATACAATATGGACATCGGTATGGAAGCATCTCTAGATTCAACTTAGTGACCATCAATCTCCTTTCCAACACCTATAACCTTTTCACGTTTGCAAGTGATGAAATTAATAGTAATTGGGGAAAAAATTAGAAATATAGATTTCCAGAACCAAAAGGTTTACCTTAAAAGTAATTAAGTCCATCAATCTCCCTTCCAATACCTATCACGTTCCCCATTTGCAAGTTATGAAATTCTTAGTAATTAGGAAAAAACTTATCGATACAGTTAAGAGATTTAGTGATTTCCCATATTAAAAAAAGTTTATTTAAAAAATTT